TGGGAGAGGAGAGCTTCCTTGACAGAAGAATCACCTTCTTGTTGCTTGCTACTTATCAAGTCATCCACCTCCCCTGCCGACTTGGTGTATTGCTCCGCAAATTTTGAGGACATTATCAGTATTGTCAATAGTCAAGGCAACTAGCTTCCGTTCTTTTTCCTCTTGCGCTTTCTTTCGTTCATCTACCTCCTTACGTCTTTGAATTTAAATTCCCTGTACCTTTTCCTGATACTGCTTTTTGAATTTTTTCCCGATTTCTCGCAGCTTTGTAGATTATAGCATCCTTTTCACTATCCGTACAGGCGTCCAGGAAGTCCAATGTTTTGTTTTGCGTCCACATGATGATCCCCTGCATTGCAAGCGCTGAAATGTTTGGACTTTTCCTTTTCAAGTAGTCCAGCCCTGCAAACACCCTTTCAGCAGGGACATTTCCAAAATAGGCTCTCTCGGTCGGAAATATTTTTTTTTTTTGCCAATTTTTTTTATGCAGCTTGAATGGGGTATTCAATTATATGCGAAGTTTTAGCCTGAACTATTTCTATTGCACTACGAAAGCTATACATGAAATGGCAACAAAAAGTGAGTAAAACCTACCTTTAATTATTGTCAATATAAATTTACGTTCGATAATTTCAAAAAATAATGAAAAATTCAGGCCGTTCGCACCATATGCACAACGCTAGTCAAGACGCGGGGAGCTGGCCAAAACTCCGAGGTGTGTGATACGTGCGTGTGTGGCGAGCGGCCCACCATGGGCCGACAGACCTATTTTTACCGTCAACAATTTCGGGAAACACGCGGCATGTATCATTCCAAATACGAGTAGTGCGATCTCAAAATGAACTCTTGAACACAGAAAATACATACACAGACAAGCTAGATCAATTCTGTAAATTAACTTGCAAAAATGTTCTTTCTCCATCGGTGTTTTCTTGGCATTTTTACGATGTCGAATCCGACCAGTTGACAGTGGCCTGCACTGTACTGATAGCGCGCTATCGGTCACATAGCTAGCTATGGACTGGTTACTGCGGTTTCATTATGTCTGGCCCATGCGCGGCGCGGCGGGAACCAGTCGTCGCCACGTGATTATACTTTATAGTCACCGTGCGTGACATCGAATTGCGAAGTAGTTATATCGCGAAGCGAATTTGTAATAACGGAGGTTTCTTTTGAAAAAAAGCGAATGTAAGTAAGAAAACAAATAAATACAAGCATTTTTGGATGCAAAAGGGTTGTTGAGAGGTATTTTGTGAAGACAGAAAAGACAGATTTTATTTGTATTTAGGCCAAAAAAAAAAGTCTCCGGTTTCTGGTATGCGCGCGCGTCGCCGTAGCCATGCGCGTCGGCAAAATGAAAAAGTTTTTTTTTCAATGAAAGATGATGTCTCAAAACCGCCAAACTCACTGGTTTGACTGGAATTCTGCTGCTGCGCAATTTCAACATGTTTTTAGATGGGGTTATGATCGAGAATAAGCTTTATGTGACCTCTCTGGACTCCCATATATTTGCACTAAGTTTAGTCGGGCACCATTTGCAGTCATCAGCCGACATTTGAAGCAAAAAAGTCGGGTAAAAAAAAAAAAAAAGCCGCGTCGCCGCACCACATTTTGGACAAGCTCCATACCAGAAACCGGAGACTTTTTTTTTTGGCCTTATTCAATTTTTTTTTTTTTTTTTGGAATTGCCGATAAAATTTTTAGGGTCGCAGCCTAAAAATAGGGTCGGTCGGGTAACCGGAAGCAGAACTATTCTTTTTTTTGGCCTTATTAGAAGGATACTGCTTCACGAATCAGGAATCCTCATTTATAGGTTGTTGTGAAATTACCTGATCTTTTCTTGCGAGGGTAGATTCCATTTTTGAGGTACAGGGTACCACTTCTTCAGGTTGGTTAGCTTGTCCTTTGAAATGCCTATCAGAAACAAAAAGGAGTCTCGACATATCCTCTTGTGTTCATAGTGGAACCATGTTATCCGAGTCAGCTTGCGCTCACGGTTGACTTTCTTGAGTCTCTGCGTGGCCTCAGAGGTGTTGATTCAGAGGTAATTCCCAGCAGAAAAAGATCCTTTTCAAAGCTTGTCAGTTCACGTACATTCAACCTGAAAATACCAAAAAAGAAGATATATTGAGCACAAACAATTATTTGGAAATGTAACACACTGCATTCTAAACTCATTATGTATTACATGCACAATGTGATGTTGTATATTCAAAGCTAGGTATAATGTTGCACACTGCAACGTGTGTTCGAAATTGAACAACTTTGTAGAGTCCAAAACATGGTGCATTTTATCATGGCAGGGGTTGTTTTGAATTGTTAACACAAAGATTACAAAGAAGTGGCATGTGTTTTTGGAACAGAAACCTTGTCAGTGCACTATTAACAACAAACTAAGGGCCCACACAATTTACGAGCAAACAAACCGGGGGGGGGGGGGGGGAGGGGGGCAGGGCCCTTGTATGCTTTCTTAACTAAGATTGTTGACATTCGTGAAATCTTAGATTATTGTAAAGGGCCCCTTTTTTTTTAACATGTTTTTTAGGCCGACTGATGTTGCATGTGTTATGACAATCTGTGTTACCTGATGCTCTCTATCTCTTCTGTACTCACACCGCAGATTGCAATTAACGATAAATATGCGTTGGCTAAAATGATTTACTTAAATTTAAAGAGTGAAAAGGTGGCGGTCGTATACTGTACTCCATCCCATCTTATATTTGTATCGGTTAGGCCTAACATTAACGTTTAAGTGTCAAACTTTTACTTAATGTTTTGACATGTTTGACAGTCCTGTTTCTCACGTTAGTCTAACTGTAACGTTAGTGTCTATAGGCCCTAACGTAATAAATAACGTTAGTGTCAATCATAGACACAAGGTGAAGTTAACAGTATTTTTACATTTTTGGATTTTGGTCCTATGTTATGTGCAATTTTTTTACAAACAACATACTTTTCCCAACTTAAACAAAACACTTACCATAGCTCTGTGATTGATGGGTAGTTCATCTTCACTGCTTGAGTCAAGTTCATCCCTGTCACGATCGTTGGAATCAGACAAGTCTCGTTCACCAAGATCTTGGAAGTAGTCTTCAATAACTTTGAGCATACCAGAGTATTTCAACCCACACAGTGCAGCATCATTAACAAGTCTTGCGATCCTGTCTTCGCAATCTCGACAATCAGACTCGGAATCCATGATTGAAAACCATCCAACAAGGATAAAAGACTACACCAAATTGTGAAATGTTCAAACCCGCAGAATAATTGCGAATTTCAGCCGATTTTGTGACTCAACACACAAAACACAACAAAGTTGGTATGTGAAGAAAAAATTCAAAGTGAACCAATACCAATATTATTAGTACCACTGGAAAGAGCTTGAAAAATCCTACACAGTGATACCAAAATTATTGAGATATCTTAATTGATAAGGAAATAACAAGCATTTGAAGCTCATTAATTAGCGTCATTTATCTTAAAGGTAATTAAATAGAATTTTGTGACCGAAAATGCGACTTTTTTGAATAAAAACGCTTGAGGTTCCTTCGTTAATCAAGATATCTCAATGAAACTTGCAGGCAATGTGTATCTTGTTAGGGTGAAAAAAAAAATGAAAGAATAATATGCTGATGTTAATCGTCTTCTTGGCCTAAAATGAAATTTATAACATATTAATATAGGAGCTTTCATCAATTGTTTGGAGTCCTGTCTGGAGTGTCACTCTCGTCTCAATTTGTCCCTGGAATGATACATAAGATTAGTAAACAACATCTATAAGAGTGTATCTTACCTAAACAGCAAAACTTTCATCTCAGGTTCACTGTCTAGACCAACAGAAATGTCCTACCATCCATACAATTTCTTTGAAAAGTGTCTATCCAAGTCCACTAATTCCACACAAACGACAACATTTTCCACTCGCCCATGCCAGAATTGTCAGTCTCATTGATCAAGAACTAAAACTGTGGATGAAGTACACATCATTAAGTCACCAGCAATTAAGTCAGCTGCCAATGCAAAGGGGGACATGTCATAATCAGTAGCATTGTCATATGTCTCACCCATAGACCAATAGGCCACAACGAATGTCGGTCGTTTCGTACCCAAGTCGTTTCGTACCCAGGTTGTTTCGTACCCAGGTCGTTTCGTACCCAGGTCGTTTCGTACCCAGGTCGTTTCGTACCCAGGTCGTTTCGTACCCAGGTCGTTTCGTACCCAGGTCGTTTCGCACCCAGGATTCATTGCACACGTGACAAAGGGTTCCAAATCCTTTTCTATTGAACAACAATGCTACTGTCAATCACTCTTGGTGGTTCACGGGACTTGTGTTGGCGGCGCTGCGGTTTGTTTTGTCTGATTTTTTTAACCTGCCACTGCATGTTTTTTGTTCTTCTTGGAGCTTGGATTTTATCTACCCTGCGGTTTGTGGGTTTTTGACCTTAGGTTATGATCGACGATGTTTGTCTTCTATATTGTAGCGTGATTTTCTTTGGTTGCTTTTTTTTTCGAAATTGTACTTTTTGTTATTAAATTTCATGTTGAATTTACGTAAACGTCTTTCGTGTTCTATAATTATCAAGTTTTGACTTTAATTTAAAACTATTGTAGGTCATAAAATGCAATTCAATTGTTTGTAAACTTTTCAATGTTTCAATCTACCCTGGTGTTAATGTTTTCACTCTTCTATAATTATCAAGGTTTAATTTCAATTCAAAAAAACTGTTGTGAGTAATAAAATGCAATTCACTAGTTTTGAAATGTTCAATGTTTTTCAATGTGTTCAGTTTGGCATTGTTTTGGCAGTAATAAAAAAAAAAAATTTCGCATTGCATAAAAAATTAGGCTCTTTTTCTAATCTGTGGAGAAAACGAAAACATGTAATTTTTTATTAATCATTTATTTCCGTTTTTATTCTGCCTTTGATGCAAATCTTCAAGACAACAATCTCTTTTGTAGATATGTTGGTCCTGAGAAGGACCGGTTGTTTTGTTGTTGACCTACAGGGCTGGACCTGTCAGGTAATTGCAGGCTGCCAGGAGTCCCGATGTTGTGAGGCGACGGGCTTGGTAGTCGTCCCACAACTTGAAAATCTTCCCTTGAACCTGCCGGTACATCCGCTGCTGGTTCCTGCAGAGTCGAGCTTCTTTGACCAGCCTTAGCTGGACGTTTTCGTAGCTGGATTCTGTGTACAGGAGCTTGATGACGTTGTAGAATTGGACGGTGTGACATCCTGCCCGCCCAATAAGTCTCCGATGCCAGCCCTCCACGTCATTGTTCGTGCGGATACTCCGCATGAACACTGACCAGTCACGTGGGCTCCATGTTGAGTTCTCCAGCCACGTGGTGCGAAGGTAGCTGCACAGCTCGACCATGGCGGGTTGATCAGTCACCAGGCTGCCGAGTTCTTCAAAAGCTGGCCCGATATGTTCATTAGGCAAGAACGGGAGTGACAACAGCTGGCCGATGAAATCCCGAACTTCATCCCACCGGTGTCTCCCTTGACGAAGGCGTGAACTGAGAACAGTTGGGTGAACGGACGTTTCACCAACTTGAAAGTTCCATCCAAGTACCAGGTCTTGGCGCCATCCAGCACATGGAGTTGATCTGGTTTAAAAAAACACCTCATGGCGAGCACAACCAAGGTGAATGTCTTTCTGGAGGAAGTGTTCGGGGATGAAGCCTTGGTCAATTATAAAGTCAATGTCTCGTGGCTTGGGAGGGCGCTGGCTCTGGCGGTGACGGTTTACAGCCCGGGACAGGTTGGTTGGATTAGGACAACTTGCAGCGGGTGCGTCAGTGTGGTGATGACATCCTCGACAATGGCCCCTGCTGATTGTATGATGTCAGCCTTGGCCTTGGTTATCACCAACGCCTTCACTTGAACTGCGACGTCTGCCCCAGGATGCGCTGGATGCGTATGCTTGGTGTGAAGTCCAGCATGAAAAAGGTTGCCATCTTGGTGAACAGACACGGCACACCTGTGCAACTTGCCCCGGACGCTACACAGCCATGTGACTTTGGAAGAAGTGGAACCGGCCTTCTTCCACTTCTTCGTGTAGGTGTAGCCGTGACTATCAACCAAGATGACTTTACCCCGTTTCGTGCCGGACTCCACCGTCTTTTAGGAAGTGATGTCCTCATCACCTAGGCCAGGGATTACAGCAGGTAGGGCAGCATCGGGGAGGGGGTTCTCGGCTACTTCAAGTGGTACAACAAAGTCGGTCTCGACGTTGAAACCACCGTCATCGGTAGGGACGTCTCCGTTCTCCTCGATGTCCATCGGGTCTTCCTCCTGTTCTTGGTCTTGACTTGTACAGGGTGCACAGATCCAAACGTCCAGCCTGGATGGATCGTCACGGATCTCCAGGTACTGCTGGTGACTAAAACCAGAGTTGCAGCCAACATGCTGCCATCCCTGGCAGCGCTCACACTGGAAAGCATGCTGGTTCGCACGAACAGACTTCTTACAGAAGAGGCAAGGATACTTGATTGGCATCTTGACCCAAAAAGTGCCCAAAATGTGACTTTAGAGAAATTTATAAGGCTTAAATTTTGACAACCGATAGAATATAAGAGTAGCTACCGATTTATGAATGAAATCTTTTTTTCGACCATGCATGCATTTTTTCGTTGTACAAAATGTAAGTACCGGTACCTTACATGTATCTCGAAAAAAGGCGTTTGCCGACTTCTGCCTGGTTTTGGGATGGCGGGTCACATTTGACATCATTCGGTTCAAGTTCTAGCATGCGTGAAAAGGTGACATGCCTTTCTTTTGTGACGACCCCAAAACACAGATACTTTGTCAGAATAGGCCTCTCCCCATCAACACAATGACAACACTGGGCCAAAAGCGAGCATTAAGAGGGGGAAATCGGTGCCAAAAGAGGGCATTAAGAGGGGGAAGTTGTAAGCGGACGCTGACCTTGAATGCTTTGCAATGCACCACCTGCAACAGCAGGGTGCCAGGGCATTTGTTTTCCCTTGGCAACAGCACTCTTCTTTTGATCCCAAAGAAGCCTCGCTGGGGTATTCTGTCCGAAAATGTCATTGGTGAGGGTCTCATCTAAGTTAGCAAATACCTCCTCCATTCCCTTCTCCTGTAGAGGAGTATAAAGGTGAATAATTTCTGCTTCCATCACGGATGATATTTTGGTTTCCAGTGCAGCATTTCTTCGCAGCAAATTCCTTCTATCACTCTGGAGATCTACCACCTCTCCTGAAGCTGCTGCTTTGACAAGGTAATATTTGGGGCTTTGGATGATGCTGATCCGCTGCGTTGTTGCTTCCCTATTAACTGGCTTGTAGCAGATGAGAGATCACCTTTGTGTACTTTACAGTAGTCACATCTTGTTCCACTTGATTGCACCAAAAGGAGACATTTCTTGTGCCGCACTTAACTGTCCCGTCCACAACGACATCATTGTTAGTGATCTTTGTTGGAACTTGACCTTCTGAGCCACACTTCGATGCCACCAGTTCAGGGAAGTCAGGATTTCCCAGACATGCATGCATCCCATCAAGCTTGCTGAACATGATGAAGATGTCTTCGGGACTCAGGAACTCCGGGACATCCTTGCACAACGGGTGATCACTATTACAAGTGATGCCACAAATATTAAGCACCCACGAAAAATTGGCCAGGATTGTGAAAAACACTATGGGATTTTGCCCATCTCATCAACTTTGACGATTCTTACTCTATTTTCCCCTTTCAAGACCATGAAGGAAAACTTCCCAGCCGTAGTGCGGTGATCATCTAAGGTCACAACGACTTCACCAGTGCACCTGTCACATGAACTAGTGACAGTGGTGATTTTTATGTTGCAAACAGCTTTTTTACACTTTGCGCAGTTTTCTTTCTGTCTCCTTAGCTTCAGCTCACATAGGGAGGATAGATGCCCATCACATTGTCAGCTACAGCGATGTCAAAAGCAGCCTTGATGTCCACAGCAAACTGCTCTTTCAGCACAGGATTTCTATACTTCTGTTGGGCAGGACTCTCACCAGAAAGGCGACAAACTTCCAACAAGCAATCCTTGTGTTGATTCATCCGACTCTGTTTAATAATAGAGTAAAATGTAACATGTAATTAATAAGTGTTGAGACAATGCACCCATTACACACACACACACACCCATACTTGTAATGACCTGCCAATGTGGACTTTCATGTTTTACCATACAAACGAGGTCTGCAGTATTTTAAGGGCTACTTACGCTGTGTTAGCAGAAAATTAAAGTTTTAACCGCGGACGTCTTAAAAATGGGCGGTAACAGGTTACTGAAGCTTTCTGGCTTCACGAAGTTTTCACATTCAAACCATGGACGTACGCAAGACGTCCACGCTGGTATAGTCAATTAATAGGTCCACGCTTGCATGTCCATTACAGGAGTATAACGAACACAAGACGTCCACGGTGGTATAGTCGATTATTAACACCCTTCGGTTTTACGGTCCCCGTTGATGGAATGCCATCCCTGTTGACGTAAGAACGAAGTCGTCTGTGGGTCGATTTAAGACTTCTTACAAAAGAGTCCTCCTCTCCCATTATGTAACATAGCTTTAGTCCTCTCCTTATTTATTTACGTTTTTATTCGTCATCAGTTATTAAATTCTTTCTTTTTATTATTTTGCCTTCAGCTCTTCTCCTGTCTTTTTTTGTGTAGTCTGTCCCGTCCTTGTTTCGTTTTGTAGCTGTTGATGTTGTTGCTGCTGTTGTCTGAATGGGCTGTTTATTACAAGCCTCGGCTTATTAACAGCCCCATGCTCTTTCTTTTCTCTTGTACATATATCCTTTTCTTTAATTTGATTATTAGTTCCAAGCGTTCACTTTTTTGTTTATTATTTAATATAATACATGTATAGTTACAATGTACTTTGTTATTTTCCTGTGTACAGGTTTTCTTTAATTATCGATGCGTTTTCCAAAAAGAGTATGGAATAAATGTCTTATTGAATTGAATTGAATTGAATAAGTCCACGCTTGCATGTCCATTACATGAGTATAACGAACACAAGACGTCCACGGTGATATAGTCGATTAATAGTAGGTCCACGCTTGCATGTCCATTACATGAGTATAACGAACACAAGACGTCCACGGTGGTATAGTCGATTAATAGGTCCACGCTTGCATGTCCATTACATGAGTATAACGAACACAAGACGTCCACGGTGGTATAGTCAATTAATAAGTCCACGCTTGCATGTCCATTACATGAGTATAACGAACACAAGACGTCCACGGTGGTATAGTCGATTAATAAGTCCACGCTTGCATGTCCATTACAGCATAGAGCAAGGAACAGACAGGAGTATAACGAACACAAGACGTCCACGGTGGTATAATCAATTAATAGGCCCACGCTTGCATGTCCATTACAGGAGACATCTAGTATAAGGTATACAAGATGTAAATAAGATTTGTAATTAAGATTTGAAATTTTCAAAATGTCATTTGTTGGTGTTTTCTAAGGTCATTCATAGCAATAAAAGAAACGGAAAAGAAAAGAGAAAAAAATATATACAAAGTCACATAGATAGATTGAACTCAACAAATTAACTGAAACATTTATTTCTGCAAACAATGTTAATTATCAAAGATAGATGCCAACTTGGAAAAAGATAATTATTAAAAACCAACGACAAAAATACAGAGTTCCAAACTCTAGTCTTCTGTTCTAGGGGTCACAATTAGCACTCTCTGGGCTTGGAAAAAATTGCAATACACAAGTCTTGTACATTCTAATCTCTTGTGAAGTTTTGATAACATTTCAGTTTTAAAATGTATGTAAGAGGACATAACAATTTCAAATACCACATTTGCAGTTTGTATTTGTGTTCACCTCTGCCAAAACTATTTATTTTACTGTTCCGGGAGTTGTTCTATCATGTGTGCATAACGATTATCATTACATGTATTCTATGCAATAAGTGTACACTAGAAAAATAATAGATGAAAATACTTTACTTATGTTAAGTCAACAATATTAGTGATACGGTTATCTGTGTTCAGTCATAAGGTTGCAAACTATTTGACCCCCCCCCCCACCAGTTGCAAACATGAACTGTTAAAATTGAGACCAATCTACACTTTCTGAATGTATTTCATCTCTTGCGAACTGCCTATCAACCTCTATAAGATTATATAACTTGTTTGAATAAACAACTTAAAGGGAATATACATCATTTGCTTTTGCTGTAATTTTCAGAAATGGATGGAATTGGGGGTTGGAAATATATAGCAAATATAGTTACACTGACTTTTTGAGGTTTTGGGTTCAAAAATGCTATAAAAACCAAGAAAAACAATCATTTTCCTGTAGTCTGGTTCCCTGACTCCATTTAAGAAGAAACAGAGCAGTTTACATACATTGGGGAATTGTAAGGTCAGGGAATCAGTCTAGCTGGCTTGTACCCGTTCATAGGTGTGTAATCGATTGCAAACAAGTGCGATGGTCAATTGGGGCCAGTATTTGAAAAAAAGCCAGTTTTTCCAACGCTGATCGGCCGATCAGCGTTAGAAATTGATACAAAAATACCACTTTTCTTGAAAATGACAGTATACCAGGTGCCATGATTTTACAGGATGCTTTACACTGTCATTCACTAACAGTCCAGCAAGGTATTTCAAAATGATTTGGTAGTTTTATTTTTTGATGTTTGCAAATGTTGTATTTTCCCTTTAAAGGAACAATTGAGCTTTATTATAAAACTGGAAACTCTGTAGGCCTCAGAAATTGAAAAAACTTCCTTTCAACTTCTACATGTATATGATCACCAGTGTTGTAGTCGAGGCCACAACCTCCAAGGCCAAGGCCGAGGCCACAACCACGAGGCCAAGGCCAAGGCCGAGGCCACCACCTCCGAGGCCAAGGCCGAGGCCGAGGCCAGCTATCAAAACACATAATAAAATATAAATCACTAAAACAAGGCTAAGATTATGTTGGAGT